CCATACTTCCCCCGTGTAACCCTAAACTTTTCATACGAAACATTTTTCTCTATCCCTACTAGTTTTCGAGATATTTGACTGGATCACTTCAGATGGTCCACCCTGTATACATATGCATGTTTTAAACAAGAAAATATATTGATGAAATACACAGAGCACATACCTGGAGATTGTATTTTTATATGTGTACAATCAATGACACCAATTACTTTTGGAAATGCAGCAATATTAAAAAAATTTCTCTGAGTTCGTAAAATGTCTTCTTGTGTTTGTGGTAATTTTATGTAAATGTTTGCCAATGAAGCTATAGCCTCAGACACTCTCACCATTATTCTTGAAACTGTAGATTTATCCATTCCACCATAATCACCCATTGTTATCAAAAATCCATTAGTCGAATATAAACGTAAAGCAATGAGCAATTGTTGCATTGGTGTAACTGGATTATTTCTAGAAAAGAGCAAAATTATTTCTTCTTTTATAGTAATAATTTTAAAGAAATTTGTTTATAAATAATTATAATATTTTATATTGTAACATTTGTAATTAACATATATTATATAATAGTAGCATATTGTAACCTTATGTTAAAAATATTTTGTAAGTAATGTCAAAAACGGTTAAAAAATTTTGGATTAAATTAGGAAATTTTACCTGTAACGTGTATACTCCAGGCGATCTTGAATTTGTTCTAATATATTAATAGGCCTGTTCTTTTTGGTTGAATTTTTGCACCAGTTCATCTTTCTTCCTTTTCTCTCCAGGAGGAAAGAAGAGGAAGAAAGATGAACTGGTGCAAAAGTTCAGCCAAAAAGAACAGGCCTCATAACAGACTGTTTTCGTAACCTTAATCTTCTAAAAAAATTTAAGTCGTCATATTTTTCAAAATAATTAGCACGTATATGTATGTTTCGCGGTATTCCATATACAACTAGATCAAATGCATCTAATTCATCATCTTCTAGTACATCGAAATCTAAATCCATTTTTTAATAACCTCAAATAATTCGTACGCGACAGTAATGATACGACCAATATGACTTGTAGCAGTAATATCTGTCTCTTAAATTCTCTTAAGCGGTAACTGAAATCACCGTTTAAGATAAGTGAAATTTAAAGCAATTTAAGTGTCACTTATATCTTGTTGCAACAAACTTAAAGTTTTAAACTTTGCTTTAAGCAAAAATAACGTTGGTGCAATCTGGCCTTAGAGAAATGCGGAACTAATGCAACCAATTGCTGATTAGAATTTCTGTTGTACACTCTAACAGAAATGCTAAATAAATTTACGATTGGTTTTCGTAACCTACGCATCTCGAAAAGTACGCCTCATGGGGAACCAGCATCTTTCCATCGCGTACATATGAGCGGATAATCGAATAAATTATTAAGGTAATTATTCAGAATACCTCCCTCACCTCCGATTTCGATAAAATTAGGCTCATTCGACGCGTTTTTGCATGAAACGAAAGAATCTGGCAGAAAAAAGTGTCGCTCTGCCTCGCGAACCGAGATATTTAGCGTTAAAGTTGACGACTATGGAGGTTAGGAAATCTGTCATACCGACTATGGCCGTGGTCCGAATCATGCTGACAACGCTCATGAGCATTGTTTGTCTTCGTTTAACATTTGACAAACAACAAGGATGAAATGATTTTTAAGCGTTGTGAGCGTGTATCGGACCGCGGCCTATGTGTAATAAATTTAACGTATGTAGTAGTGCTCAGACAGTGTCCATTTGGAATATTTGTAACCCATGTAGACAGTGGGATGTATAGACAGTAATGCTTGGGTTCGGGGCGG